CTATAATGTGAACCTCTAATGTGTGAGAGATCAAGGGAACTGATTCCTGATCTATTATGGGCTAGGAGGGAAATGGAAGCTAAAATCAACACACTTCAAGCAACAATATCAAATTTGTCGAAGACATTACTCTTCAAATTTGTATGTAAATTGTTTGCAAAATTGGTTTGTTCCTAGGTATGAAGGATGAGTTTGTGGGATGTGGGTATTTAGCTTCAGAAATTTGTGCTTAGGGTTTTGGCGTGGGAGGCATGTATAAAAATAAAAATAACAATAAAAAATAAAATCATCCTATGTCTCTTTACAAAATCACAGATTCACAAAAATTAGTTCACTTACAACAAAATTATACAGGATAAACCACATCGTGTCCAAGATTTGGATCTTCTATTCTCGGACTTCTTCATCTATGACTTGGAAGTTTTTGTTGAAGGTGCTTTTCTCTTCCTCTTTACTAATCTTGACTATGTATATTCTTCAAGACTCTACTTGTGTGGTTGGTTGTGATTCTTGCTGTGAACTACCTTCACCAGCCAATGGCCTCTTACAGCTTCTTTTGTTATGTCTAGACCCTCTATAGCGTTTACAATTCATCTTCATGCCCGTCTTTCCTATCTTAACTCCTACAGATGGCTCTGTCTGTGACCACTTTTTCTTTCTTTTGGTCTGCCTACTTATTTTCTCTTCTACGGTTGATTGAGAAGGTTCTTTCCCAATTCTGGTCATAGCTCAAGTCTTGACATTAGGTGGATCATCGGGGAGTAAAACTTGAGGTGTGTTTCTTTGCTATAACATGGGTCAATGCACTCATGTATACTAATATCCCTTGAAAGCATGCTTGATATTGCATGGGGACATGATATTGCAGTGAACTGTCATTTTTTGTATGCACATTCACGTTTGTAAGGTTAACACTCCACCCCTATCCAACTCTGCTGCTTATCTCAAACTTGTGATTACCTGCATAGTCTGCCTTCAAGTACCTTGCCTCAAACTTAATCTTCTCAATGATTTTCACAATTCTTGGCCCAAATGTATGATCCCACCTCTGTGTTGATTTCCTTTTTGCATTCATTTTTATTATTTTTTGATGTTTGATTTTCTCTAGCATTGAGATAATGGACTTCTGTCACGCTTTTTATGTAACGTGATTTTATACTGCAAGAGCACGGTGTCAAGTTTTGTAGTATATTAAAGAATTGAAAAGTGTCGAACCCACAGGGATTGATATTCGACTTCCACTGAGTAGTATAGTTATGTCTGCGTTTACTTTATCTAGACAATCGGATGTTAATTTGATGTTTGAATGCTAAACTAATGTCGATAAATTTAATAATGCAAGAAAAGTGAGGCAATTTCTAAAGATTAATTCAGAATTTCGTAAAGTCTAGGGAATGATTTCACCGTATTATCAACATGATTCTCAACCCCTATAGATACTTCCATTAATTATTTCCCGAATTCATAGGCAAGAATCCTAAATTAATTCTATTTCCCCCTCTCGAGCGTCAAATAGAACATATCTCTATAATTCAACCCCAATATCTCTAGTCTGAGTTAAATTTATAAAGATTGTCACGCACTTGGTTCTTGTTTTACCCTCAAAGAATTGCACTTTCTCTCGAAATCTACAAATTTAGGTTATATTGTTCTTAGATCATGTCTAAATTTCCCTCTCTCGAGCGTTAAACTTAGAGCATCAATTCATTCAATTGGTGATCAAGCAACCGAAAGCATTAAGCAAGAACAATACAAATCAATTCTGAAAAATTAAATGGAAATACTATAAAGAAATTGAACCATGTCTCAAATAGGTTACATCAAACCCTAGATTTAATAACTTAATTCATGATTGAGGAGAAGAACATGATAAAATATAAATTAAATCTCCTGGAGAAGAGAAAGATAAGAAAAAACTCAGGTTACAGCTTGATTCCTTCTCCAAGATCCAATGATTCTTCTCTCAATTAGTGTATATCCTTGCCTCCTTTCTTCAGCCGTCAAAACCTACCTTCTTAGGTCTCTCAATATGTATTTATAATCCCCTTAATTTGTATTACGAGTTGGAGTTGGGCCGGGTCGAAAATATTTGGAAAATTTGCATTTTTCCTTTCTCGGCATGCAGCGCTTGGGCGCTGCGATTTGGGCAACTGGGCGTTGAGTTTCTGTTGGAATTACAGAATTGTGGCACCTGGGCGCTGAGGGTATAGTGCCTGGGCGCCCGGTTCGCCCGAAACGGCATTCTGCGCGTATTTTAGTATTTTCAGCATAACTTTCTCGTTCGATATCCAATTGAAGTGACTCAAGATGCGTTAGAAAGGTAATTTAAAGGGCTACAACTTTGCTTCAGGCATCATTCTCCAATTTGATCATTTTCTATATCGAAAATGGGTCTGAATGTGGGACTAAAAACCCGGTGCAAAACTTTTCGGTTGGAAAATGATTTATGATCATATCTTGATTAAATTTGATCCCTTTTGACACCTTCCTTCATCCAATTGACTCCTACCACTCTCGGATCTTCATTGCAAGTTCCAATACAACTTTTGATTATGTGCACTTTAGTCCTCGAACTTTGGATCTCTTACATTTTGGTCCTTTCATCCAATTTCGCCAACTTTTGCCTATTTCTTCCATTTGGCCTCTTTTAGCACTTGTTTTCTCCACTTCATCCATCCTTCAAAGTAGCGTGAAAATCACATGTTAGCACCTCTAAAATACTCTCCAAGATAGCAAAATCATGAAATTAATGGCATAATATAATGAGTGTAAATCACTCATCAAACACCCCCAAACTTAACATTTTGCTTGTCCTCGAGCGAACACCAAAACAAAGAAAGTCATTAACAAGCACACAAACATAATTAAAGCACACGAAGTTGGAAGAATTATTTCAAAGTTATAATGCACGAGCCAAATTTTCACCTATTCAATGCAAAACGAGTGTGTGTGTGAAGAGTTAAGTGCAACGTTGTACAATAATAAGTTGACCCAATTCCCGACCTTAAAAGTCAAATATTTCCTTGCCTCGCTCGTAGGATTCACACACCCCCAAACTTGTTCTTTTTTTTTTTCGCTTCCCAAGTTGTATTCTAAAGTTAATTTTCAATACTAATATCTTACACCGCTAAAGTTTGGTTAGATTTCACTGATTGCAGTTCAACATATCAACAAATGAGGACTCTCCTTATTTTTGACTGCTTCAACCTCTAGGAATCAACCAAGTTACCAACCCCTTATCAAAGGTCTAATCATCTAAAATAAGTGTTTGGGGCTTAATCAAGGCATTTGATATCTATTTTTTTCTCTTTTTTTTTTTCATATATATCTTTATTCTTTGATCACTCTATGTACGGACGTCTCTTCCTTAAGCTTTCTAAATGACCCCTGTAGCAAGCTTTAGGCCGATAACTCCCAAATCAGATGACTTTAGGGTATCAGGTTTTAAACCCTTGCAGGTTTAATCACGCAAGTCATAAAGGCTACAAAGAAACGCTTCACAATGAGATTATTAGAACTGTCCTCATTGGGATCTTTTTTTTTTCATGCGATGATTAGTGCAATGCCCCTTATTAAACACCTATTCCCAAAAATCGACCTCTAACTTAAGGTTTTCACCCAATTTTCATCCTATTGGTATCAGACAATCCACACAAAATTTAGCATACACGGAATCCACATTTATTTCTAAATTTCCCTACAACAGTGCAATCATCCAAACATCCTAAGTTTGGTTTAAGGGTATTGTGATGTTTAATAGTTGTTTGGGTTTCAGCATCTAAGTTTTCTATTCCAACCTATAAACATGAATCAACATACTCATGCACAACGCCACAATAAACTCACGTGCAAAGATATTTTCCGTTTCACATGAACAAGCAAAAATCTAACTCAAATACACATAACCTATTCATAATCCATGAACTAATGCATGTTTTCAATAATATATATTACTGCCGACAAGGCTTTCTAACTCACACAAGCATGCAAAAACACGAATTTTTATTTGTATTTTTGTTTTTATTTGACAATGCGCACAAATAAAAATTAAATAAATATATAATAGAAAAAAAACAAACAAATAATTTTATTTTTTTAAAAAAATTGCACGCAAATCAGACAAAACCAAAAAATTTAGGCAATTAGACAATTTATAATACACTCCCCCCAAATTTAAACTAAACATTGTCCCCAATGTTAAATTAAAAGAAAAAGAGGAGCACTTTCCTGAATTGTCTGAATTGCTAACGATGGTTTGGTACACTAATATTAAATTTGATGGATGTTTCTTCTAACTTTTCCCCCAAACTTGAGATTTATCCAGCTTCTCCTTGTCAATGTTGTTTGATTGATCTGCGACGTCATGTTCCTGAAAATCACAATGTAGATATTAAACTCATGGAACAAGTGGTACTTAGCTCAAACATCGATAACCAACTTGATTTTTCAAAACCTAAGGGACGGGTAGGGTTGATGAATTCCTAAATAACAACTCTGAAATAAAATAAATTATCATAAAATTCAAAAACAGAATAAATAAATAAAGATGAAAGCTTGGGTTGCCTCCCAAGAAGCGCTTCTTTATAGTCACTAGCTTGACTCAACCAAGGTGTCTACGGTGGATCTTCGGGTGGAGCATCTTTCTTGTTTCTGAATTTTACCCTCGGCTTTGCATTCTACTTCACCGTAGCATGGCCAATAAAATCAGGCGGTTTGAACCTCGATGTAGCCTTCAAAACCTCTTTTGGTTTGACAATGTTTGGAGATTTCAAAGGCCTAGCCACATAGCCTTCTTTTTTGTCAGGTGGATCAGCTTCTTGGGTGAATATGAAATCCACTACTTCTTCGGCTCCCGAGTATTTGCCATCAGTAGATGCATCCCTTACTAAGTAATTGAGAGCCATATATTGTTCTAAAGGGTCATAGAACACTTCCTTTTTTTCTCTGTGACCTAAAACCGCTTCAGCCGATTGGGCCATATTGCAAATGTTGACTTTTTCTTAAGGCTTTTCTACTTGATGGATGTTGAAAGTCACATGCTCTTCATTAACCCGCAGTGTCAATTTTCCTTCCTGGACATCAATTAATACTCTTCCAGTAGCTAGGAAAGGTCGACCAAGAATCAAGGATATTTTCTCGTTCTCCTCCATGTCCAACACCACAAAGTCCACAGGAAGGATGAACTTATCGACCTTCACCAATACATCTTCAATCATGCCTTTGGGATATGTGATCGATCTGTCCGCCAGTTGCAAAGTGAGGATTGTGGGCTTCACTTCTCCAAGACCCAGCTTTTTGAACACTGATAGGGACATCAGGTTTATACTAGCTCCAAGGTCGCACAGTGCCCTATCAAATGTGATACCACCAATATTGCACGGGATGTTGAAGCTGCCCGGATCTTTCAATTTGTGAGGGAGCTTCTGAAGTATGTCACTACGCCCCTCTGTTAGCTTAATTGTCTCGAACTCCTCCAGCTTCTTCTTATTTGACATCACTTCCTTCAAGAATTTGGCGTAGTTAGGCATTTGGGCCAAAGCTTCTGCAAAGGGAATGTTGATGTGGATTTTCTTCAAGACTTCCAGGAATTTTGCAAATTTGTCATCAAATTTCTTCTTCATAAACCTCTGCGGGAATGGTAGTGAGGGCTTCAAGATTTGTGGGTTGTTTGGAAATGAGATCGAGTAAGGCTTATAGATCTTTGTACCCTCTGCCTCAGTTTTTTGCCTTTCACTCTGCCTTTCCACTATAACTATGACATCCGACGTAGGCACCACAATTTTCTTAGGTTTGCTTTCTTCAACCATTTTACCACTCCTTAGGGTGATTGCATTGCAGTGTTCCCGTGGGTTAACCTCAGTGTCACTGGAAAATTTTCCTTTTTGCTAAGACTTCATTGAGGTAGCCAATTGGCCAATTTGCACTTCCAGATTCTTCATTGTGGCTCCCATATTGGACACATGTGTTTCAATATTATCCAACCGTAGTTCATTTTTGTTGAAGCGTGATCTTATCTCAGAAATGAACGTCCCAAGGATGTCTTCCAAGGGTGGTTTCCCATTAGAATTCTAAGTATTGAATCCGGGTGGAGGTTGAAGTGTGTTTCCATTGTTGCCATATGACAAGTTCTCGTGATTCCTCAGCCCTGGATGATAGTGATTAGCTTGGTAGCTTCCTCTTTGATTGTAGTTTCTACTGTCGACATATTGGGCCTTCTCGTTTGCAACCTCTGTCTCTTGGTGTGAAGAAGAAGTACTCATGACTGAATCTACCTTCTGTTGATTTCCTTGAGTGGTAAGCGTGACTATCTGATTTGTGAGTAATGCAACCTGAGCTGCTAGTGCGGTGATGGGATCCACTTCATGAAGTCCTGCTACTTTCTTTACACCCGATCTCTCACTTGGCCATTGGTAACTGTTCGTGGCTATGTCATCCAATAAAGCATATGCAGCCTCTGCTGTTTTAGCCATTAAAATGCCTCCCGCAGCTGCATCTACCATAGTCCTTGTCTGCCCATTTAGCCCATTATAAAATATCTCAATTTGCACCCATTTCTGGAACCCATGTTGAGGAATCTCCTAAGCAAGTCTTTAAATCTTTCCCAGGCTTCATAGAATGGCTCGAAGTCAAGTTGTTTGAATTTGCTTATTTCACCGCGAAGTTGAGCTGATTTAGAAGGTGGAAAGTACTTGGTGAGGAATTTCTGAGCCAAATCATCCCAAGTTGTAATTGAGCCATATGGTAGTGATTGGAACCAAGCCTTTGCTTTATCCCTTAAAGAGAATGAGAATAGGCGGAGTCTAATTACATCTTCAGTAACCCCATTCATCTTCACCGTGTCACAAATTTTCAAAAAGGATCCAAGATGAGCATTTGGGTCTTCTACTGCAGCACCCCCAAACTGATTTTGCTGTACCATATGTATCAACCCTGGCTTCAATTCGAAATTGTTTGCAGTAATTGTTGGGCGTGCGATGTCGGAATAGTTGTGATTGACAACCGGTCTTATGTAGTCCCGAATAGCCCTTTGTTGGTTATCCTCATTGGCTGCTCTAACATCCTGTTCTGCCATTGCTTCCCGTTCGTTTCTTTGTATGCCTCTAAGAATGCGAAATGTGCATTCTGGTTCAAGATCAACAGGTAGTAGATCTAGATTTCTCGCCTTTCGAATAAACAGCTGAAAATAATCACAAGGAAGCTTTTAAAGATAGACACAAAAAAAGAGTAAATTAAAATAAAAATTACGGTAAAAATAAAAATCTAGAGTAAAATGAACACCGATTGGTAATAATATCAATTGAATTCGAATGAATCAATCCCCGACAACGGCGCAAAAAACTTACCACGCGTTTTATGTAACGTGATTTTATACCGCAAGCGCACGGTGTCAAGTTTTGTAGTATATTAAAGAATTGAAAAGTGTCGAACCCACAGGGATTGATATTCGACTTCCACTGAGTACTATAATTATGTCTGCGTTTACTTTATCTAGACAATCGGATGTTAATTTGATGTTTGAATGCTAAACTAATGTCGATGAATTTAATAATGCAAGAAAAGTGAGGCAATTTCTATAGATTAATTCAGAATTTCGTAAAGTCTAGGGAATGATTTCACCGTATTATCAACATGATTCTCAACCCCTATAAATACTTCCATTAATTATTTCCCGAATTCATAGGCAAGAATCCTAAATTAATTCTATTTCCCCCTCTCGAGCGTCAAATAGAACCTATCTCTATAATTCAACCCCAATATCTCTATTCCGAGTTAAATTTATAAAGATTGTCACGCACTTGGTTCTTGTTTTACCCTCAAAGAATTGCACTTTCTCTCGAAATCTACAAATTTAGGTTATATTGTTCTTAGATCATGTCTAAATTTCCCTCTCTCGAGCATTAAACTTAGAGCATCAATTCATTCAATTGGTGATCAAGCAACCGAAAGCATTAAGCAAGAACAATACAAATCAATTCTGAAAAATTAAATGGAAATACTATAAAGAAATTGAATCATGTCTCAAATAGGTTACATCAAACCCTAGATTTAATAACTTAGTTCATGATTGAGGAGAAAAACATGATAAAATATAAATTAAATCTCGTGGAGAAGAGAAAGATAAGAAAAAACTCAGGTTGCAGCTTGATTCCTTCTCCAAGATCCAATGATTCTTTTCTCAATTAGTGTATATCCTTGCCTCCTTTCTTCAGCCGTCAAAACCTACTTTCTTAGGTCTCTCAATATGTATTTATAATCCCCTTAATTTGTATTACGAGTTGGAGTTGGGCCGGGTCGAAAATATTTGGAAAAATTGCATTTTTCCTTTCTCGGCATGTAGCGCCTGGGCGCTGCGATTTGGGTGCCTAGGTGTTGAGTTTCTGTTGGAATTACAGAATTGTGGCGCCTGGGCGCTGAGCGTATAGCGCCTAGGCGCCCGGTTCGCCCGAAACGGCATTCTGCACGTGTTTCAGTATTTTCAGCATAACTTTCTCGTTCGATATCCAATTGAAGTAACTCAAGATGCGTTGGAAAGGTAATTCAAAGGGCTATAACTTTGCTTCAGGCATTATTGTCCAATTCGATCATTTGATATGTCGAAAATGGGTCTGAATGTGGGACTAAAAATCCGGTGCAAAACTTTTCGGTTGGAAAATGATTTATGATCATATCTTGATTAAATTTGATCCCTTTTGACACCTTCCTTCATCCAATTGACTCCCACCACTCTCAGATCTTCATTGCAAGTTCCGATACAACTTTTGATTATGTGCACTTTAGTCCTCGAACTTTGGATCTCTTACATTTTGGTCCTTTCATCCAATTTCGCCAACTTTTGCCTATTTCTTCCATTTGGCCTCTTTTAGCACTTGTTTTCTCCACTTCATCCATCCTTCAAAGTAGCGTAAAAATCACATGTTAGCACCTCTAAAATACTCTCCAAGATAGCAAAATCATGAAATTAATGGCATAATATAATGAGTGTAAATCACTCATCAACTTCTCTCTGGCAACAAGAATGGAAGAATTGAATACCTCACGTAAGTTATTTAGAAGAATATCACATTTGAAATGTTCTTCAAAGTGTGATCTTCTCCATTGGAAAGGTGGTTTTTAATTGAACCACTTGTAAGCCTCTTAACTTACATTTTTCAACTCATTCATTACATTCTTCCACTCTGGCATTGTTGTTGCCTTTGTTGTAGCCCAAAACAGGTTCTAAGGGCTAGGCCTTTGTGTGTCAAAGTAAAATTACTATATAGATGTTTAGCACAACACCTGTACCTAGCCTCTTTCACATAATTTACTTATAGAATCTACCATACCCTTTTGTTTATTAGAAATAAATGCCCAAGCTCTAAGGTTGTACATCCCTATGTCATCAACTAACAACTCTATGAATCATTGCCAATTTGTTTTGTTCTCAACATCTACAATTGCCCATGCTATGGGAAACATACAGTTCTCACCATCAATGCCAATAGCTGCTAGCGAATGCCCACCTTCTATAGATTTTATGAAGCAACCATTCAACTCAACAACTGGCTTGCACCCAGCCTTAAACCCTTCCTTACAAGTCCTTAAGCAGATGTACTACAATCTCTTAAAAGCATAACCTAAACCTTCAAACTATACTACGAGGATTTGTTCATTTTAATTCCTTACCATAATCCCATAAACTTTTGAACTATTCAGCAATAATTCCATGAATAACTTCTACACATTTAGATCTTTTCTTGTAGAACTGATGGTTTGGAATCTCATACATGCAGTCATCTTTCATAGTTTTCATAAAATTGCTCATTAGAATGTTGGGATCATACCTAAACTTTCTTATGTATTTTTTTTTTCCAGATAAGTTGCATTAACCCTTTTATTTTGCCACTTCATGGTACTTGTGTGCTCATCTCTAAATGTGTTAATTGTAAGACTCTTGTCTAGTTGTTGGTATGCTTATGAATCCAAGGATAGCTATCTTGACATCTAACTCTCGATTGTGTTCTCATATTTTTCATGTATCTCAGTTGCCTGTAATTTTTAACTAAGTACTGAACTACTACAATCTTTAGAGTCTTGATATTGACAAATTCCATTCCTATATTGTCATATATATTCTCAATCAGGAAAACAATGTACATATTATTACAAATGTGTTACCTATCTTGAACTTTAGATCATTCATATCATTTGCAAGGTTAAACCAACACTCATTCTTCCTTCTGGCAGATGATCCCTCAGCTTCATTGTCGCTGGGTAATCTTCTAAGCTCATCTGAGTTTTCATAGTCTGTTCCAACTTCTTTGCCAGCAATTGCCTAACCTTCTTGCTCAACCCTTACATCATCTCCACTAAAGATAAACTACTCTTCATTCCATGTCATCCACTTCATTAACTATGTACAAGTCATCACATTTTACTGATTCGTCATAAATCTCAACAGCATAACATGGTTGCTGCTCATTCACTGGTTCATCATGTACTCTAGACTTTTGAATCTTCACCAACTTTTCACCAGTCTCACAATCAACCACATAAACATCCTTATGTTCTATTTCATCCCAAGGAAACTCCAAAACCTCAACTACAAGCAAGCAATATAATTCAATTATCCTATTATCACCAAGCAACTTTCACTACGTTCATGAAATCTGAATCTTTAACCAACCAGAATGATGCTTCACTCTATCTCTTCTTCTTCATCTAGTACAAATATCTGATTCTATCAAAATATCCCAACATTTTCATGGTATTGTCCAGAAGAAATATATTGGATGTACTACAATCTCTTAAAAGTATAACCTAAACCTTC